GCTCTACTATATGACCGCACTGCAAAGTAGGTTGACCTTGGTTAAGTGGGTCCAGAAAATCTTCGCTGTTTTACCAGAGTAACTGTTTTCGTGTGTCCTCTAGCCGCAGCCTGCGATTTCTGGAGTCACCTCTCAGTTCTTTGATACATTAAATAATTGCATTACATTGGCTACTTTCCAGCATTTAGGGCTCACAGCTGGACTCCATGAATATATACATTGCTTGTCTGTCCCTGGTTCTTCAGAACTGCCGAATATACAGAGCAAAACTAGTCAGTCCTTCCTCATCACTATAACAAAATGTACACCTCACCATGCTTGTCCTCTGTTCCCCTTGATTGCTGGGTGGGGAAGCTGTTAACACTGTCCTCACCAAGGACAAGGGTTTCAGTCAGCCTGAGTTGACTGAACAGTGTCTGGCTTGTTCCTAAAGGGTGCAAAAAAGGGGTTGGAAAATAGGACTGACATTTGGTCCTAAGACCCTGGATGTGGGCTGCTTGCTCAAATCCTGCCTCTGCTGGCAGCAAACAAGTCATAAGCTCACAGCAGAGTCTAGGTGAGTAGGAACCCTTGTATGTCTCTAATCTAACTTCCTGCTCAAATCAAGGCTAACGCCAAACTAGATCATTTTCCTCAGGTCTGTGTCCAGCTCAAGTATGAATATTTCCCACACTGGAGTCTTCACAGCCTCTCTGGGCCTTCCAGCAGCCTGGGGAAGAATATTTTTCCTTGCATCCGGTCGGAGTTTCCCTTTGCTGCATCTTGTGCCCATTGCCTTTCACTGTGCACCTCTGGGAAGAATCTGGACTCCGTCTGCTTTATAGCACCCTTGAGGCAGTTAAAAGCTGCAAGAGGTCCCTCCCTTCACCTTTTTTTCTCAGTACTGAGCAAGCCCCACGCCCTTAACGCCTTCCCACATGCACATACATGAATGCATGTGCACATTAGCAGTGAGAGCAAGCCCTCCATGAGGCGACTTTCCTAAACCACCGTCAGGCAAATCCACGGTTTGCCTGATATGCCAGCTCACCACAGGGTAGTTTCCTCATCAACAAGAAGATGTTACTGTTCCTCTGCAAGCTCCTCACTGGACAGGCTCAACACTCAGTCACATGAAGCCAACAGCAGACTGTCTTGGCCTGCAACCCAAGCCCATGGTCCCCTGCTTTAGGGACGAGAAACGACAAAGACGTGCTTGTTTCTTCAGAGCTGAGCATTAAAACTCATTTACCCTCCTGCAGCGCTCATCAAGCCAGAATGACACCTCCGGAGAAGAGCCCAGAGAAAAGTTTCAGGGTGTTAAAGCCACCAGATTCCTCCATTGTGGCAAAAGGACGTATTTTCCCCATTTTTCTCTATCTTCCCTCCAGCAGCCAAATCTGCCGAGCCCAAGAACCAAAGCCGAGTGCCACCTCTGCCATTAGTGATCACCATGATTCTGGCCACTGGTGTCCAGCAAAGAATACTGCCCTGGTGCCTTGCACAAGCAGCCGGTGCTGCAGCCCCCCTAGAGCAGAGAAGGCAGTATGTGAAAGTTAACAGAGCCTGGGCTGGCACCCACTTCCCATGAGATCTCCAAGGGAGAAGGTGTGGATGGACAGGGAGCTCCTAGTAGGTTGCCTTCTTCAGATATGCCCCAGGCACAGGGTCGAGGACAGGAGCGAGGTGCCACTGAGGCAGCACAGGGGTGGGATTCCTGCAGGAAGCTGTGCGTGGGGGAGGGAGGGGAGGCAGGTCCCACCGCCTGCACTGCATTTATCTGACCATGCTCACCCTTCCAGTACTCCCCTCACATGGAATGGCACAACTCGGGGAAACAATCAACTATGCAGACAATCACTTGTTAAAAAGACCAACTGAATACCCCAAGCATCAGCATGCGAACAGGTAAAGTTCAGTAAAGCATTTACAGCCTAGCCTTGATGGACAACAGTTACTATTTGTTTGGCTTTCTGTCCCATTCTGCTTCTGAAATCATGACATGGATAACAGTTCAGGGGAATCCATATGCACTTTTGCTGCTTCAGTTGTTAAATATCCACAATTTTCCTAAATAAATGCTTGGGATCTTCCTGGTGACTGTCTCAATCCTGCTGGCTGAGATTGCTGGCTGTTTTAAATAACCCAACTGGAGAACAATGCCCAGTCCTCTAAAGAGAGCGAAAAATCAGTGATTTACTCTCATCGCTCTTGCTCTTTGTCTCCAGCTAATTCTAACGCAGTTGTCATTCAAATATTTCAATTCAGCATGCTACCTCAATTTAGCTCCTAAGTAGTAAGAGAAAAAAAGATCTTTTTAACCTGGTATTTTAGAGACCTTACTATAAATGCAGCCTCACAAGATTCTCCAGCACACTAAGAAGCTAGATCTCCATGCACAGTCTTAAAAGAAATCAGCTGGAAATAACTGTGGGCACTGAAGATGCAAAATACTTTAAATACCATTTTATGTGCTGCACATGCAACATTAAATAGCTACAGCTCTAGCCTTTTCCAATAATATGAAAAACGGTATTATTAATCCCACTCTTCATCCCATGCCAAGTACATTTTGAACTTACCCCAGGCTAGTTGAAGATCCTTCAGTGCTGGCAGTTGCCAGAGTTGGGAATTAGCACTGTGCAAGAAAGGAGAGAGAGAGGAGAGCAATGGTGACTTGACGTTTCCCAGGATGGGACTGTCACATGCTAATCACTGATTTGAAACGCAAGCATAACAAATGCCTTCTGATTATGTAATCTTCGGGTCACATCCTTGCATCCCCAAGCAAAAATCAGGACTCTGCGCTTAAAAGAAGATAATATTGACTTTTTTCCTTTTTAATTAGAATTGCACACTGCTGCAAAGGGAGGGTGAGAAGCCTTGTGAAGTGATGGGCAGAGGGGGCCGTGTGGTGAAAGCCAGGTGCTGATGTGGCTTCTGCTACTTTGCCGAGCTCAGAGGCTCTTAAATACCTCCTGTAGCACCCAAGTGAGGCAGCCTGCAGTTGGGGACAGGGAGACGAGACCAGCTCCTTCCTGCTTTCTCTGACTCCCTCGGTCTCCTGACATGCGTGGCCTCACCAGGGATGCCAGGGCCAAGAGGACTCCCCTTCTTTCATTCAGGGGCCAAGAGCAAGGTTGCCAAAGTAGCCAGGGCAGGGGAGCAGCAACCACTAGCACTTGTGTATTTTCTGTTGCTTGTTAGATCACGAAAAATTTCCTTTGAGTAAAAATAAATAAGGGCTTGGAGGGAGGTGGGAGAGTGGGAGGCAGCAGCCCTCCATACCTGCTCCATTTCTTCACTGACGTCCTGCAGGGCTTTTTTGCTCCAAAGGGTGTCTAGAAAGCATGGGGAGAATGCACATAACCCAAGGCCAGAGGTGTTAGGAGAAGGTTTGAGCCAGTCCAGTGAGTTACTCCAGAGCGTAAGAGCACAGAGGCATAAAGGAGGAGGAACAGTAACAAAAGGCAGACTAATTTCTCCCTGAAAGATCTGCTTCAAAGATACCCTTCAGGCAGAAAACCTGAAATGTAAAACCGCACAGCCTGAATCAGTATAATTGCTGTGCAGTACGTATAAATGTGGCGATGTGGAGTCCTAGCAAAGGAGCTGAAAAGACAAGGTCATAGATTAACAGAAGCTCTGTGGAAGATACAGCTACCTCTGAAGTCAAGGACTAGGGACAGAGGGCAAGGTATTTCTTTTTTGGAGCCTGCTATTTCAGGAGCAAAACACAACAAAACTGAACAAAACAAAATGATAATTCTGAAGGAGTTTGCTGGAAAGTGCATTTTTGCTGGGTCAAAGATACCTGTGAATTCTACAAACAGGTCAAGCTAGGAAAGATTTTTTTTTTATATAAATAAAAAGAAAAACATTTAGCTTCACAAATCTATGAACAAAACATTTCAAATAGAGATTTTCCTACAGGCAGCTTTAAGAAAAAGGGCTGAAAGTTGTTATGTTGCCAAATGATCCATGAGCTGCTTTGTTTTAGATGGCCCAGTATGTTCCAGTCTGCTGATAATGTGCTGTTTTTTCATTTTGCTAATAAACCAAAGGGCCCAAGATCTTTCCGAATCCTAGCAAAATGAGCTGAGTATTTGAAGGCACATCTGAAGGAACAGCATTTGTACATTGTGTCTGCAAACAGAGGCAAGGACAGGTATTTACTAAAACTCCATTAAATATCTGGCAAACAAAGACTCAACACATTTTTTCCTGACAGCACTGGTATGTTGTGGTTTTTTGGTTTGGTTTGGTTTGGTTTTTTTTAAACTAGAAAACAGTTTTTCTGCTTTGTAAACCAAAGTATTTAGATTCATAGTGCAGAGACCTTTGATGACCAAACGCAAACAAAAATAAGTATTTCATTGCATTAGACTTTCAGATGGGACAGTGGCAGCAATCAGTCTCCCTTGTGCGCTCTCCCTTCCCAGAGAAAAACAGTTTTGGTGCATGGCAGAGGTCTGTCCTTGAGCAGTCTGGTACTGGAGCCTGGGGTTTAAGGGCTTGACCCATGAGGAGTAACTACCATGTTACAGCTGCACTTGCTCTCTGCCCTGACGCCACTGTGCAACACCTGGCTTAGGGTAAACGTGATCATATGAGCACTGCGTTTGCAAAAGCTTCTGTGGGTGGTGAGGTTTGTTTTCTGGGGAAAGTTACAAAAGCTGAGCATAAATTAGGCTTCATTTGTTGATGACAGGTTTTTTTGAAACTCAGGGAGAAAGACATTCCTAGGGAACAAATAAAAAAAAGAATTCTAGTCATTAATGGCTCCACTTACAAATTCACCCTATCCAACTTCATTTCTTTAAGGTTTTCACTTAGGAGACTTCAGCTGATCAGCCTGAAAAGAAAAATAATTTTATTTACTATTAGCATGAATCCTCAGGGGTTATTTTTAATAAATACATGAAGAAATCAATGCCTGTTGAAAACTCGTCACAGCTGTTGAGCTTAGAAAGCAATCAGAGAGCTGCCTTTAACACACGCGCTACTGTCATGCCAAATAACTACATTTTCAACTTCTGCTTCAGTCTCACTGCTGCCGAGCCATGAAATGTGCCACTCCACTCCATTTTCATCTATGAAGTCTTCTTCACCTTCCATTTAGTAATGACCTAAATCCCGCCCGTTGAGAATGCAGTCAGTTTGTGGCAGCACGGTGATGCATGCGCTACCCAGATAAGCAAATTGCCAGGGATCAGAACCTTCTCAGTGTAGTGTGAGTACCTGCCTTAACTTTCTCCCACACTGTAGCCTGTAAAAGTTTTGACCTACAAAGCACACAGGTTAGACAGCTAAGGAACATATTCCTTTCTTTGCAAAACTGTATTTAAACTAACATCCTCCCAGCATGTAGCACCTACGGGAAAGACTTCATTATCCCAGTCATGATTTGATGTTACCAGGGCTTAAGTCCTATGAAGTTTATCCTAACTTTCATTAGAGGCATCTTAAAAATGTCTAGGTGTATGCAGCCAGTTAGCGTGTGATCTAGCTGTAAAAATCCATCCTGTCTTACCCTTTCCCCATCCCGCTACATGCTGTTATGACAAAGTGCAAGGATTTACAGCCTCCTGCAGGGAAAAAAAAGTAACTGCCATATGAATTCAGTCCTCATAAACCACATATTTCTGCTGATCTTTGAAAGCTGTGATCAAGCTCATCACTACACCTGAAGACTGCTGTAAAGAAGAAATGTTTATGCATCAGCATCCCTTGCAAATGAGGGGAAAATAACTTTTAAAATCAATTACTGGAGATTTGTTTCCCTTAAAAAAATGAAGCCACCTAGCAGTCACAGCGAGTTGCTATGGTACGGCCTGTTTATGTTCATGAAAGCCACAGTGATGTGGTGAATTGACACCTATCTCGAGTGAGTAGGTGGAAACTAGCAATTCTGAAACTTGGCAAAATAGTCTGCATTGGGCTGTCAGGGAGTGGTGCGTATTAACAGTCAGAAACCAGTGTCAGAAAGGAGATGTCTTAATTCCCTGGCAAAAACGACAGTGACTGGCAAAGATTGGATTTCTGCTGCCAAGGGTGTGTCTACATCAGCATTTTAGTTAGTTGAAATCACAAGTTCAAATCAGAACCAGCTGGTTTTCTCTACAGATCAGCTACTAGTGACAAGCATTGTGCTGGCCCCTTTGCAAGTGATGAGTACTCACAGGTTTAGACTTCATGCAGAATTGATGTCTGTCATTTAATATGACAGCAAAAGACAAAAGCTCTGTAGCAGATTTTAACATGCCGCTGTAATAGGGGCATAACTTAACACAATCTGTTCTAAAGCATTGAAATAAATGTCTTTAATTTTTCCCCAAACATTTGAGTTTGTCATACAGGTTCCCATTTTGTATCCAGATCCATTCTGTAACATTCATTTGGTGTCTGATCATTTAAAAATAGAATTCATCATCATTCTAGTACTATTGTGGCTATTATTTTGGTCAGCAGGGCAAGATGGGGCTTTTTTTCTGATGAAAGACCACATATCACCAACCATAAATTTTAGATTTCTTTCAGATACTGGACTGGGGAGGTACTTAAAGAAAAATTAAACCTAAATCAAACCTAGCAAATTTGACAGAGAAGTCATTTAAGAAGAATAAACATGAATGTTCTCATGTCATTTTTTACAGTTAATTTTCTCATTAAATCTGCTTTTTGGATTATGAAGTGGGTATTGACTTATTGTTTTAGGAAAAGATAGTATATTAGCAATTCAAGACACGCACACTTATTCAAAAGAAACAAACTCAGCTGATGTTCGTATGAGTGTCACTAAAATATTTTATTCCGAGTGATGAAAATGACCTCCACATTTCCCATCTCTCTGAAATTTGTACTTTACCTCAAAAAATAAGTAAACACAAACTTTGCAAACTATCAGTGCAAATCAGTACTCTATTTCTGCGTGCATCTGTAGGCAGACAGCATGAATCAACAGCTGTGAAAGGGGTCTGAACTGTTCTATTTCTCTGAACTCTGCCTGAGCCCAGAGACCTGGTAACAAAAAGTGGGTGGGTGGAATAACCATCTTGAAAACTTCTGACTGGGAATGAATCACAGACTTTTGACTGATCTCATGGAAAGGATACAACTGGGATCAGCAATCTCAGATACCTGGTGCAAGTTTCACTGGTAGCAAAAGAAACCTACTCCCATGCTGGGTGAATTTTATTTGGACTTTACAGCTTATGAAATCAAAACTAATAGAAGAGATGACATGACTCTTCCACTTCTAACATGCTTTTTTTCATTGAATGGTCCAATGTACTTTGTTCCATTTGGAAATGTGTAGGTTCCAGCCCCGTGAAACATGTTCTCTTTGAACTCATCTTCATAAACTGCCCCAGAAGGATGTTGCAGACTTCCATTACCAATCCTCTGCATTTAATGAGAGATGAAGGATAAAGAAAATGGTTAATGTTTATGCTTACAGTATTATTTCCTTTCATTACAATATCCTTTCAGATTGCTGCCTCTGAGTCTCCTATTGTATTCAGAGATGATAATGGAGAGCAAAGTGACTATTCTTTCAGATTTAGACAGGTTCCTGCTTCTACAAGGATTTCAGGTAAGAGCTTAGAATCTTTTGGCCAGCCACAGTGTCCAATAAACCCCTCCCCTGCTGGTAGTCTCACGGTAGTCTCACAGGATCTTAACAATTTATGCAGCACAGAACTGCTGTCCCCAGCCTTGCAAACAACTCATCTAGCCTGACAGCCTGAGGGGTTAATTAAATTTTCCAGAATTTATTTCTGTGGATCAAGGCAGAGCAAGTCTTCTCATTTGTTCAGCCTAGGCCACTAAGCCATGCCTGGGGATTTAAATCTGTGCTGTAAAGCATTTCTGTACCATAAGCTTAATTCTTATCATTGCACCAATGTTTTTGTAAGAAAGTCAAAAAAAGGCCAGACTAGATCTAATAACATCTAACAAGATGCTGTTTCCTAATTGCAGACCCTTATTTGTCTCGTTTCAAGGACTGTCTCCTCTGCAGCATCAGCAATACTTCCTATACTTACTAATTCATTTGTGGGGAACTCAGTAACCAAGGGCAGCCAAACAATGGTGTATCTGTTGATGGCCAGAGCTCCCCTGTTTCACTGTAGGATGTGTGTGTGGCGTATATACACGTGCAGGAGGGCCATGCCTAGCACAATATGTGTGCACAGCCCATTTATACAGAGCTTTCATGGTGGCTGTGCCATGCTGGGCACCATCGGTGCCACACTGACCAGGTGTTTCACCAGAGCCTGCCTGCCAGCAATGACCAGTGTGTTTGCAAGAGGCAGCAGGGCATCTGAAGATCCCAAGTGTCTCAAGTCTTCAGACTGGGCTTTGACAAGATTCCCAGGTGGAAGAAGAGCCTGGTCTGATCATTGACAGGTTATGACTTTCCTTTGTATGTCTTTTGAAGGGTGGATATAGTGAGACATGCTCCATTCCAAACACGGGGAAAGTTTAAGATGAAGGAATACTTAAAATTACCTTGTCATTTTTCCAGCTGCTGACATACATAGTTCTGTTGACGCTGATGTGGACTCCATGACCGTCCCTCTCGAGCACACCCTCAGGCGTCCTTTTGCACTCCCCCTCTAGGAAACGCAAGTGGTGGAAAACAGGCATTTTCACTACAAGACAGAGAGCATGAGAGGCAAAAACCTATGAGACTGTGCAGTCCCGTTGCCCGTTCTTCCACCACCACTGAGCCCCACTGTGGGGGTGGTGGGGAGCTGGCAAGGGGCAGAGCAAGCCCCAGTGGACCGTCAGGGCCATGGCTCTGTGAGAGGAGCCTGAGGAAACACCCTCACGGCAGCTGCTGTGTGGTGGTTCTTACACATCCAAAGCAGTGTGTTACTTGGGTAATAGTACGTTTTTGCTGGTAAAACTTTTTGCTTTAAGCTCGAACCTGGCACAGGTTGCCCAGAGGGGTTGTGAAGTCTCTGTCCGTGGAGATTATTAAAGACCTGATGGGATGCAGCCCAGGGCAGCCGTCATGGGTCACCCTGCCTGTGCAGGGGGCCGGAGATCTCCAGAGGGGCCTCCCCACCTCGGCTTCACAGCTTAGATGTCAGTTGTTATCTATGTAACCCTCACCCAGAAACTGCTATAGATTTCCTCCATTTTAATCCCATGCATTCAGTTTTGTAAGAGGAATTAGCACCTACTAAGATTTTCTTACCATACTTGTTTTTATTTGGGAGTATGAAACACACTTTAAAAACTGCTGCATCTGTTAAGAAACAACCAGTGTCACTGTTACAACTGTTGGCTGAAATTCAAATATATATTCAAATACACAGCAGCTTGAAACTGCACATAATTATCAGTGTGCTGCTTGAGTGTGCGATTCTTTATAGGGGACCCTCAGTCCTGTCCGCGGGGCAACCTGTTGAGGGGGGCGCGGCGGCCAAAAGTGCTGCCGTCCCTGGTTGCCAGGCGGAAGTGCCCGCGGTTGCTAGGGAGGCCGGCGGGCAGGAAGAGGAAGGCGGTGCTTCCGGGTCAGGGGGCACTGCGCCGGGCTGGTGCGGAGCGGCGAGGAGAGGTACGGGCGTCCCCGGGGGCGTGGGAGTCCCCGAGAGGGCGTAGTGGCGCCGTGGAGAGGAAGAGGGTGCGTGGGGGCCTCGTGAAGGAGGCTGAAGGGGGATGGCGTCCCGGGAACATGGACGGGAGGAGGAGACGGGGGCCCTGTGGAGAGGGAGGAGCAGGGCCAGGTTTGGGTATCCCCAGCTGTGGGGTGCTGGTGACTGGACACCCCGAGGAGGTGTGCGAGGCGGAGGCCGCGGGGAGGTGCTGGAGGAGTCGGCAGGGAAGCGACCCAGCGGAGCGCGGCTGTTCTCTGCCGGGGGCTCCGTGCTGTGAGGAAGGAGGCTGAGACACCGTGTGACAATATCCTCGGGGACGGCTGCGAGTGTCTATGTCCGGCAGCTGTGCTCACCCTCTTAGCCTCCCTCGCTTATGCCAGGCTGCCCTGAGCGGAGTCAGCTTGTCTGTAAAATCCTGTCCAGTCCTGGTGGAGCTCCAACGGGAAGTGCCACAAAAGGGGAAGTTTGCTTCTTTCCAAGCCCCAAACTGTTGCCGCTCCCCAAGCCCTCATTTGGGCTGTTACTCATGCATGGCCACATCAGTTCTTGTCCTGGCTCTGGAGGTGCCAGTGCAAAGATCCAGGTAATAAGCTCCTGCCAGACTGTCCACAGCTGCTCACCCATCCCTGCAGTAGCTTTTCATTTGCAGGAGCATGATGCTGGGGCATGTGTTAATGTTGGGCCATTCTATCACTGACAACAACTGCTTAATGCTAATGGGCTTATGTCGGAGCTGGTGAAGATCCTGCTGTGAGAAGAAGAGGGCTTCTGTTTTCCAAGACAGGTCCCTAATCACTCTGCTGCTCAGGCTCCACAGAGCACTCAGCCATCTGGGCAGCTCCTTATGGAAGGGGATAGGTCAGGATCAGGTTAATGTGGAAACAAACTATATCTTTGGCTTCAGCTCCTCTTTGACCTTTTACTCTCAGCCCTGCAAATTCCTGAGTCAAAAAGTGGCAGGGCACAGGCTGCTTTCTGCTCTGAAAGGTCCCCTGAAGGTTTGTCCTTTGGGGTCCCATGTCCAAGAAAATACCCTCAGAGTGGCAGAACTGGAGCTCCCAGGCTAGGCAGCACTGCTGGGAGGCTCATCCTTTTGCCAGAGATCCTGCAGTTTTTGTTTGAACAGCTGTGAGGAATATTACTTTTATTTTCTAAAACCACAGAACTTGTTTTACAGTGTTCTAGAAAAATGTGCTTTGCTTCAGGCACATACATTAACAGTGGTTTGAGAGGGTATCTTCTCTTGTCACATGGAAAAACAGTAATGTAATGTATGCCCAGGCGTTTGCAATGTGCTGAATCATCTTCATAACTAAGGGCTATTTTTTTTCCCTTCCTCAGCAAGAGAACATGAGTTCAGCATGAAGGAAAAGAGGAAAGCCCAACAGAGGAGGAGGAAGAGGGAGAGGAGGAGGAGGAAGAGGGAGAGGAGGCAGTGGAAGAGGAGGCGGCAGCAGTGGCCATTCAAACAAGTCTCAACTTGGTGGAAATAGGAAATGTTCAACCAAAATCTGGGACGATGGAGATGATTTTTGTCTCTTCGAGGAGCCAAGGCTGGAATCCAGGTCTTTCTGTTAATTTGGAGGGGTTTGGCATAAAGATGTTTGGGATACTTTCGGGCTGGTTTTTGAACATCTCTGAATGTGCAAAAGAGTGAAGGGGTGATGAAGCTGTTGCAGTATGAAGCAGGTTTTACATGTCTCTTTCGGTTAACATTTCTAACCTTTTCTAGCTAGAAAAGGTTTTTTTAAAAAAAGATTAGAACCTCTAATTTTCTTCTTTGGTCATAAAGTAATTTCAGAACATCTTTGATCAAAATGCTAATAAACACAGGATATTTATTTTTGTACATTGCAAAGCAGAAGCTGGGCCATGGAAAATAAGCAATTTAGAATGAATTAGTATCCTGAATGTATTCTGACCAATCTAGCTTAGAAATACATGGTTGTACTGTAGTCTGAGAACAGCTTTACCTGTCAAAGTGTTTATTAAATCACTTTGGATCTGACATAGGATAAAATACATATATGCATGCATGTGTGTGCACAGATACAGACACACACATCCTGGTCACGTAAGAATGAACCCAACTGAATAATCCTTAGGTGATGGACTTGTCTTATTTTGGTTTTCCTGTTTTGAATTACAGAGTTGGGTCCTCATACATCCCAATTCAGTCAAATCATTTGAGCCAGGGAAATAAGTCATTGTTGTGTTCTATTTTAATTTTTAGATCAAATGCCTCTGCCAGAAGAGGAGGGCAAACGAAAGAGAGACCTGAAGTGAGAATGCCTCTGCAGACTATACACATGACATCGGAGAATCAGAGAAGAGTGAAAGAACTTCTTCAAGAACTTCAAGGGCAGGATCTGGCTCCTGAATCAGAGTTAGTTTAAATGGAGACACTACTTCTAGGTCTTCTAGATGAGCACGCTTTAGCAGGCACACTGTTAGAAATGAAAACAGTATTCTTTTTCCCTTAACTTTTAATTTGATATCAAATCCTGTGGTTTTCAGTCTGCTTTGTTCTTTTACAATATTAACTCTGGGAAAAGAGTAGCAGAATCCTCCCTTTAAATGGAGGTTTTAAAACTGCAGAGTCGGAGTTTTGTGTCTACCTAACAGTGTAATTTTGTTTCATTTTAATTTGATAACTCTTTTTATCAGAGTAGCTGGTTCTGGTGAAGATGATGATGAACCTGATTACCTTGATGATGAACAGTGCTGGTCAACAGATCAGGAAGTTTCTCGCATAATACCAAGGTTGTCTACTGAGCCAGCTGAGCACAGAATTGTGGAAAGTGAAGTGTCTTCATTTGCTGTGCACAAACTCTCCAGGTGATGCTTTTCAGTGAATAATTTGTATCCTGAAGAGGTAAATCTAGTAGTTTGTATCCTGAAGAGGTAAACTACGGTTTTGGTACCGTAAGCCTTCAGTGCTTGGACTTCCTCTTGACTCCAGGGAAGTTCTATGTGCAGAACTGATGAGTTTGTAGCTCGTACAAATTTAATCCTCAACTAGATGCATTTAAAATAATGCTTTTATGAAAATAAATCACTCCAGCCTTTTTTCAGTGAAGTTTTCAGTTCTTTCTCCAAGATAATGAAACAGATATTGGGAAAGCTCAGGGAGCATTGCTGTTATATGTATGTTTCTTCCAGGTAGGTAATGTTTCAAAACCTTGTAAATGTTCTTCATCCATTTTGCTCAGATATGAGCATTTATTAACTATTTTGGCTTTGTTTGAGAGTGTTTTATATGGGAGAGGACTCAGCGTTTTCTGAAGAGTTTAATTTATATAGTTGAATTGGGAAATCCAATCCTGTAACTATTATGTGCTACATTCTGAGGTGTGAGATAGTTGCCACATAACCTGATTTATCACCTTATAAACGACAGACTAGCATTCACAGACAGCAAATTACTGCCTGCCACTGTCATTTAAAATAAATATTTTGGTGTGGGTTTTTTTTCCCCCAATAGTAGTAATAGTATCTCATACCATACATGCTTCCTTACTGTAAGCCTAATCAAGCAGGTGTGTGGTTATTTTGCTTCGTACAAGTCTCTGTCACTCACTTGTTGCCATGCTGTCTCTGTTTTGTTGCAGGTATGGTTTTGACAGTGAGCGTTGTAGGACAGTGCTGAAATCCTGCAATGGTAATATTGGGGCATCGTTGGAGTATTTGCTATTGCAGTGCTTTACTGAAAGATATGGAGAGAAGATGCAGGTTTCCACAACAGCTGCTGAAGCCAGTCAAGAAGAATGTTTAGAACAGAGACAAGAAGAGGCTTTTGCCCTCCAGTCAATCTATGGCGAAAAATTTGTGGAAAGAATTCAAAATCGTGTTTGGACTTTCAGTTTGAAATTGGAGTACCTAGCAAACAGGCTCAGCAAATCTAAACAAAACAGTGGTTGTACTAGAGACACAGCAAAGCAGACTTCAAAGGAAATATGTAAATTTTATCTCCAAGGAGGCTGCAGGTTTGGTTCAAAATGCAGATTTGGACATGAATTCCCTCCAAACCACCCTCTAAAACCATCCAGGAACTCTGTAGATGATGCTCATCTCAGAACTAACAGTGATGGTCCCATATATGAACTTGAAGTAAGATTTCCTGAAGAAAACAAGTATCCACTTCAGGCACCTCTTGTGGCATTTTATTCCACTGACGAGAATCTACCTCTTGCTTCGCGTTTACACATTGCTGAATTCCTCTTTGGAAAGGCCTTGATAGCTGCAGAGTCTAATGAACCAGTGATATACACCTTAGTGACTTGCTTAGAAGATGAATCTGAAATAAGCGAGTTACTTAAAAATACTCACCACAAGTATAGTGTTCCTCCTGTGTCCCCACTGGCAACACCTTTGGTAAAGCTACAGACAGAGAGTACGTCTGGTTCAAATCAAATATCTGAAGGTACACCAAATTGCCCTCTACGGTTTCTGGGCTAAGAACAGTCAAAAAGATGTAAAAAGACAAAAAAGAGAAGGCAGAGAGCCCAATTCAGGCATCTGTTCCAAATCTGTTTCTGGAGATTAAGGTCATGTGGTAAGCCAGATCCATGATCTGTCTGTGCCTCAGGAAGTCCCTTCCATAATAAAGTTGCAGCAGAGAGGTTTTCTGCTGGCAAGAACTGAGTTAAAGGAGCACAGAGCCAATGAGTTTGGGTTGGCAGAGTGAATGATGCCTATTCCCTCACAATGAATAAAAAGCCATTGAGAGATGTGGTGTAAGCTCACCAAAATTGACCAGAGAAGTGTGCTTGGAAGGGAATGGGGAAGGTTGTTTGGAAGCTTTGGTGCATGTGCTACTCATCAATTCAGAAACATCTTTCGTAAAAAAAAAAAAAAAAAAAAAAAAAAAAAAATTGCGAACCCCTCCTCAAAATTAATTTTGTAAAGGTGGATTTAAGTCTAAGTAATGTTGCAGGTGGTTCTAGAATGTTGTTCAAGGTATCATCCTTTTTTTTGCATGCAAGTGCAACTAGGTTGATTTCACCGGGGAAGAGCTGGGACTGAGTCACTTATGGCAGGGGGACAGCCACTCCATGGCATAGATGACCTTCAGGCTCT